GGTAGCGACCTAGCCGATCAAACAAGCGCCGTAGGCCTAATAACGAGACTAGCAGTTTAAGCTTGCGCCGGATGCCAATACAAAGAGATGTGCATGGGAGATGCGTTTTTCTTTCTTCAGGGTAACTTTATGTGGAAGGGCGCTCGATTCATAGGGCCTAGACGGGGTCCAGCGGGGGAGAGTCGCGAAGCGGCTCCTCCCCCGCTGGTGTCAAATAAAAAAGTTTGAGCCAATACTTCCGGCTGGGAGAGGTAAATTAAGAGTATCCGAAAAATTTTGATAGCCGGCCCCGTTTCTCAAAGAATCTCTTCTAGCCCTCACCCAGTTCCTCATGGAACTTCTGCTAGGCTGCCCCTTCCTAAAGAACCTCCGCTAATCCGGAATTTTTATAAAAAATAAAAACAACCGGAATTTTGCGCCAGCATCTACTAGCAGCGCTTCCGCAACTGTCGATATCCGGTGTTTCAAATCGATTTCCAGGCAGGCTAGCAAAGATCTTTGGGGAGACCTCGGGTCCCTCGAAAGGGCCGAGTACTACGCGTGTGTACTAATTGCGTTTCGCTTTCGGGGCGGAGGGTACGACAAGGGGGGGGGGAGGGGACAAAGAAGGGCTTATCCCCCCTTCCTCTCTCTTTTTACGAGAAGCCCCCCGATTTAGTGGTTGACCCATAGAAATTGGCCATAGTAAAAAACGTACTCCGATAATGCGTGAAAAATGCCGGCTGTCAGGCTGGTTTTAAAGAGACTGGGAAGGTAGACGGGGGCTCGAGGTGGAGCAACCGATGACGGCATGGAATTCTGCGCCGCGGGGCTAGCAGCCATTCTCTAGGAAATGGCGGCAGGCTAGCAGGGATTCTTTGAGGAGACGGTTTTACCCCTTGAAAAAAGGGGCGCCAGTTCCGTGCCGGCCCCCAGGGCACAGGACACCCATAAATCTGGTGTGTGTTGGGTTGGTGGCACTCCCGGGGAGGTTCACTGAAAATACTTGAGTAGCCCAGGCGTGAGAGAGAGAGAGAGAGAGAGAGAGAGAGAGGAGAGAGGGCCAGATGGCCATGGTGCCCTCCAATATGTGGCCCTTCCCCCCCCTGGTCTATAGAGTCCTTTGTCGGGAACCGTTCCCCCCTTATGTTGGCTGGCCTGCGGTTGGAGGGCAATATTCCCCTCCCTTCCCGATGAGGTGTCATTTATCGGGCCCCTAGCCATGGCAGAAAGTGAACGGAAAGCGCAAAAACTGCAGGATAGCGTGGCGTAATCGGTTGAATCGACTGACAACAACCCCCCAAACATAGCGGCCCAGAATTTGTGAATTGAAAATCAAGAAAGACCGCAACGCGTGCGATAGACGCGTCGCGCAATTGCGAAAGCATGCCCGCACCGCTAAACGCCTGTTGCCATTTTGCGCCCCAAGCAAAACGCATGAAGTGCGCCTTTTCCCGGCCACCATCTGGACCCACGGGCTGTTGTGCAAAGGAAATAAAGCAGCGGTACGGATTTAATTTTCGGCTTCGTGAAAGTCTGCCCGGGGTTGAAGGAGAAGCCAAATTGCCGCGCATGATCGATTACTAGAACCAGATCCGATAAGCCTAAAAGCCTAAGCCGAAGCCAAGCCTAAGCCTAAAGGTAAGCCCGTACCAGTTTCTAGGGTAGCTTCTCACAAACGGTCTCTACTAGTCTGCTGCTTCAGTCGCGTTTTTGGCATTTCCCAAAAATTCTCTGCTAGCCTGCCTTCAGGTTGGTGGAACCATTTTGCCCTTTCGGGACCCAGCAAGCGGGAAGCGCGACCCGGGAAGGGACTCGGCACCAATCTGCCCTCTCGGGTCCCAGCAGTCGAATGTCACCTGGGGTGTACACGAGAGAATATGCATGGATACACACACAAATACAAAGCACACCCGGGGCAGTGGCTTGACACGGGGGGATCGAATTTCTCCCCCCCGTTCCTTCCAAGGGGGGTGGACGGCAGATAAATATAGGATATCCACACCAGTCAGGGGTCACAGATTCTAGCGTCACTTGTAGCCTCCAGTAATAAATTAGGGGCAGGCTAGCAGAGATTCTTTGCGGGATTCGTAACCAGCTGATTCAAATTCTAGTTATTTCAGCGTCCTCCCGTGTCCGTGAGTGCGGATGCGCCTTCAGCCTGGCTGGTGACAGATCTTCTCCATACCGATGTCGTCATCCCATTTGAGATTCTCAGCCTTCAGCCCTCACCCGAACGACCGTATTTTGAGCTGAATAATCGCAGCCAGGTGAGGAAATTGGCCACACCATAGATTTGTTACCGGTTAAAATAACAAGGCAATTGCTCGAAATTACCCCGGGATTTCGATTAAAAAATAAATGGATCTTATATATTCGGACACGGAGATTCCGATTCTATAATTAAACTTTGCTAAATAGAAAGGACAAGAAAGTAATGAGGCTTCAAAGTCGGCAAATGGTCAAAAACGGCACCTTTACAAGCTTGTAAAACTGGGTAGCGAATCTTAGGCAAAATGCATCTTGTCTGTGCAAATTCGCTGAACAAGATCCACCGGTTTTTTGAATCGATATGTCGGGGGTAAGTTCGTGCACTTCCCATCCAAGGAAAAGTTAGCCGATTACGACACTTTCGTGCCGCGCCTTATTTCGCGTGGGCCAAGCGATTAATTGAAGCGAATCACGTATTTTAATAGCTTACGCTACGTATTTCTCTCCTAATTTAACAGTTGAATCCATAACAACACGTATCGCGAACATACGATCGATTTCAGATAGTGACGGCGAGGGGGATCTCCAGCCTCGTCCGCAAGAGATTCCCATTGTACATTCTCGCGTCGAGGCCACCATTTAAAAGAGTCGTCATTGTTAATGTTATGGTTGTACAGAGGTATCGTTGCGTAGTACTATGGAGCGAGAGAGTGAGAACAAGTCTCTGCTAGCTTGCCTCTTTTCTTCAAAGGATCTATGCTAGCCTTCCATCCTTTCCAGGCCGTTCTCCTTCTCCTCCCTTCACTACACCGCACACCTAAAAACGACCGCCAAACGAGACCAGGAAATCGATTTCGGCCTGCCGGTCCGGTTACCGGAATTTCCGGAACGGCGGAGGTCAGTCGAATCTGTTTTCGGGCGCCGTCAATCCAAGCTACGCGACCGCCGCGCGTCAGAAATATGCTGATGTTGATTACGGGGAACTTTCAGAATCTCTAACAGAATTTCTAAAAAATCCCTAAATTTCATAATCGCTGAAAATAAGAATCCCTAAAAATGTAAATCTTTAAATTTTAGTGTTCAGATACCCACAGATTTTGGCGTAAATTGAAACTGTAACGCTTTTTTACCCAAAGTCGCCTGTGAAACTTTTCCAGGGGTTGTTTTTTTGCGCTGGCTAAGCCTTTTTTCAGGACATTTCCCGTTAGTATTTTATTCTTCTTTCGAGCATGGCCTACACCTCAAAGATAAAATTTCGGGCAAGGGCATGGCGTGGCCTCTGCAAATGGCCCCAAATGGCGGGTTCTTGATAAATTTGCGCAGCACTATGCACCTGGTTACAATTGTCCACCGGCTCTATTTTTATTTCCTGGATTTTTATTATAAGACATTTTTAATTTTTTGCGATTCGTGGTTAAGTTTTTTCGGCGTGAGCGCAAAAACAATCTCTGAAAAAATTTCGCACGCGACTTTGGGAAAAGGACCGTAACAGTTTCAATTTACGCCAAAATCCGTATCGGTTTCTGACCAAAGAAAATGAGCTATTTTCATTTTTAGAGATTCTTGTTTTTCGAGAGTCTCATAGGGCACCGTTGATATCGTCGAAATCCCGATTTTCCAGATCCGCTACGTGGCCGCGACGTCGATCACCGATTTCCCTTGAAAATTGTCAGCAAGCGTGTGGAGAAGTTCGGCTGGGTGGCAAAGGTGATGATTGCGCTTCTTTCGTTTGTGATTCAATGGAGTAGTGGACCGGGGCTAACGAATTACGACTTGTAAATCGGATCGAAAATGTAAACTTGCAGAATCCAAGGGCTCGCCTGCAAGCGTTGCGATCCCATCCCACTTTCGGCTATCTTTCTTCTGTCTCAAAATTCCATGGCGTCATCGAATTCGACCTCCTAACCTATTATGCCATGAATTTCAGCACCTAATCAATCACGCTAGCTAGTCATATTTTTTAAAGGGATTTAAGTCGTTTAAGTCGGATTTGTCGTCGATATGAAAAGTCGCGAAGCGGCTTTTCAACCCCGGTTATTTTCTTAATAAGAATACGCAATAAATTCGCGGCTTAAAATCGATTATGCCGCTTAATCATCTTTTTCTAATCAATTACCAGGGTTGAAAAACCGCTTCGCGGCTTTTCAACCCTGGACCCGTCTAGGACATCTGAAAATTTGACTTTACATAGGGCTTGCCGAATGCCGATCACCAAAAAATGAAAAGCGCACCCTTCCTCCCTTTTTATAGGCTACGGCCACTTCCGGTCAACGCTAATTGCCTCCTAACAAAGAGGTTTTTCGACATATTTACAAAAACTTAATTTTAATAGCGAAAACAGCCGATTTTCTTAAATTTTATATGTGTGCACCCATCTCGGGACCATTACGCACCTAATGACGTATCATACGTACCTTAAAGACCTTCCCCTGAGACTGTAGGTGCGGTACATACTTACGGAAGTTGCATGCAAATATACACACACAGACACTATTTTTTTATATATAGTAGGATCTTACGGACTCTTACGGAAACGGAACCAAAACCCTAAACGATGACGTTAGGTAATGCCCAAACGATAACAGGTCATTCATAATTCTTTAACATACTTTGACTGGAATACCTGGTTTACAGTCGCTTACGTCATGTAAATTGACCTAGATTTTTGCAGGTCTACCTGACGCGTCACCTGAAAAAAAGGAGACCCGACGCCCTTCGCATTCTATCTGAATGCATACGATAGAGAGGGAATATCATTGGCCACAACTCACATTGAAATATCCATCGAGAATGCCGACAACCAGGGGATAATGCCGACATTTGAAGAGAAGAAATGCCGACACAGGATGGAGGAACCACCATATGCACACACCAATATATTTCAAGTGATGGCAAGGTGGGTGGCGGGCAAGCTATCAAAGATTGTTTAAGGAAATGGAAAGGGGGCAGGCTAGCAGAGGTGATTGCGCATTTTTCAAGGTTCACAGAAGGCAATTTTTGGCCGTCTTGGGGAGCGCTAGCGCCGTCCTAAATTGTGGGTAATTTGCATGGGGTCGATCTGGGGTTGTCCCTTGAGGCCCTGAGGGTATGTTGTCATTAGTATAGACACGCAGAGAGCGAGAAAGAGGGAGAGAGATCGAGAGGAAGCGAGAGAGAGAGAGAGAGAGAGAGAAAGAGAGAGAGAGTCCATTATTATTAGAAACCCTTATCCAGCACGCCATCCCTCCTCACCAGCCATCAAATGGTCATTCCTAAATGGCCCGTGAGGAGCACAAAAGCCAGTAAAATTCCTCAACGATTTCTGATAGCCTGCCCGACCTTTTAGAAATCGGCGGACAAGGAGACGTTTTGAGTGTCGTCGGGGCTTTGGCATGGGACCAAGTCTATCTTGTGCAGAATTTTACGCTGATTCCGAATATGGTAACCGTTTTTGCGGAATAGCCATTTCTCGAAAGTTATGAAGGATTTAATCCTCAAAACAGCCCAAGATCGGCTAGTTTCGATGGTCATAAAGGCTTTCGGGATAGGTTTTAGACAAAACCAGATAGTGCATCTTGTTCAGAAAACAATTCTCTATAAAATGTACCATCTTCTCCAAAATCATTGAAAAGTTGGAAAAATTTGATAAATTGGGAGGCCCATAATTTTACAAAAATTTTCAAAATTCCAAAATTTTTGAGTTAATTAGTTTATTTAATAGAGAATTGTTTTCTGAACAAGATGCACTATCTGGTTTTGTCTAAAACCTATCCCGAAGCCTTTATGACCATCGAAACTAGCCGATTTTGGGCTGTTTTGAGGATTAAATCCTTCATAACTTTCGAGAAATGGCTATTCCAAAAACGGCTACCATATTCGAATCAGCGTAAAATTCTGCACAAGATAGACTTGGTCCCATGCCAAAGTCCCGACGACACTCAAAACGTCTCCCTTGTGAGTTTCGCAGGGCCATTGTTCGCTGGGAAAAGCGAGAAATTCTCAAATTTTGGAGAATTCGTTGAGAAAAATTTCGTTGGAGCCAAGAAATCTAGGGTTTATACATTCCCCCAATGATCTCCACTAGCTGGCCTGGCGGAGAAAAAAGACCTCTAGAATCCCTGCCAGCTGGCCTCGTTTTTAAAATGCCAAAGGCAGGCTAGCAGCGATTCCTTGAGAATTTATAGGGGTCTTAAAGTAGTTGAAAAGGCCAGAATCTTTGACGTTGTTCTGCAGCAGTGACGCCGGCGGGGCGATCATCTTCCGGGTTGAGCCGGAGGGTTCACCATTTGATGTGGGACCCTTGAATAGAGATGTCTACACAAAAACACCCTCGTCAAGGGCAAGGACTACAGCTTCGACGTCGTCGCCAGCGACCGGAATGGAGGGGTCCGTTTAAAAAGCTAGCCGCAATTCTTTAAAAGGGGCAGGCTAGCAGGGATTTTTAGGAAAGTTGATTTGCTGGTTTACAGGAGTCGCGCCTTCCCTGTACCGTCGAAATCGGAGCGCCAACGCAAGCCGTCCGCACCCTCGAAAAAGAAATTGTCATTCGAGTGCCGGAGGATCGACCGCTTGGATATTTGGATACGGTAGGTGTAGTGTATTTTTAAATACCTCCCGTACTTCCAGAAAATCCACGTGAAATCCACTGAAAGCTACTCTCCCGCTCCGCTGGTTCGCGACGTCTTTACCGTATGGCAAAACGGGAAGATCGAGTTGACAAAGGCGCTCAACTACGAGAGACAACGTGAACACTCCACTATTGTCGTCTTGCAGGGTGGGTTTGATTGCTTACGGGAGATTTTGGGTTACGGTATCGAGGTAGAACTATAGGGAAAAGCCATATGCTCATTTTTCGCTCGGCGTGCTGGGGGCTTAACGTCTATTTGGAACGCAGAATAGAACAGAGATAGTACCTCTCTTTCTCTCGCTCTCTCTCGCTCTCTCTCGCTCTCTCTCTCTCGGTCTCTCTCTCTCTATTCCCCGATTTGCATAAGTACCCCATTCTTCTCGCCGATCCGACCACCTCGAGTAGCTAGGAACCCCCTAAAAATAACGATTCTTGAGGGCTTAAAGGGACCGGCGAGCCAGAGCGCAAGGTAGTAGATATCTCCTGGGAATTCCGGAATTTACCAAGAGCGACTAACAGTCCGTAAATCTATGTTTGTGGTAGCCATAACCTGTTACGACATAAAACGCAAGTGTAGATCGGAGGTTTCCCATTGCCTTTCCAGAGCGTAACTGGTTAGCCTTGCCACCTTTAAACTCAATCGACCGTGATTTTATGATGGGATTTGACGATTGGCGGTCGCCAGTATGGACGCAATCCATCATATATAGACGTGGCATGCAGGGGTGGAATAATATTGGATGGGAGAGAGAGAGGGAGGGAGAGAGGGAGGGAGAGAGAGAGGAGAGAGAGAGAGAGAGAGAGAGAGAGAGAGAGAGGCAAGGGCGGGGAGTGACACATACTAGACATTTTAATCGGGCTGCCAGAGGATGGACTATGGCACAATGAGGGAATGGCGACTGCCACCGGGGGAACTAACGCAAATATATAGCCGAAGGCGTCGACCGGAGATAGATTCCATCAAATTTCTGCTAGCCAGACCCCATTTCCTCAAAACAATCTCTGCTAGTCAGGCCAATATTTCTACAATTCCCGTTATTAACGGGCATCGCGGAGGCCATTTGCGGAATTTTCATATGTTTATTTTAAAGCCTCATGGTTTAGAAATTCGACGCCTGCCAGTTGCTCATTGAAGTTGCCGACCTCTAGGCTAGCAGAGAGCCTCTGGCCTGACTAATCTATCCGATTCCCATGCCGTAACCTTTTGCCCCGAACTTCCTGCGGCCTTTAATGCGAGGTTATCTACTGGGTGGAATCTTGAACGGAACCCAGTGCAGCTCCCCGAGGGGATTCCGAATCAAGTAGCGGGTCTGGGCTAGGGAGAGAGAGAGACAGAGAGAGAGAGAGAGAGAGAGAGAGTGCGAGAGCGAGAGAAGGCGAGGGAGAGAGGGAGAAAAAGAGAGAGAGTACGTAAAGAGGAGTGCAACGGACTCCCTGGCTAAACTCACTTACCAACCTCTCCCTTTCTAGAAACCCCACACACCCGCATGGAAATTTTGAGGGACTAGCGGAATTTGAAAAAATCCTCAAAAAGCTCTACTAGCCTGTCCTATCACTTCTCTAGGAAAGGGCAGGCTAGCAGAGTTGTTTGAGGAAATGGAAAAGGCAGACTAGCAGAAATTCCTTAAGAAGATTGTGGCATGTTAGCCGAGTTTTTTTGCGCACATCAGATTTTGGCTCTTCCCCCCCTTAAGCGCGATTTCGTGTGGAATTGCATAGGGTAACCGATTCGTAGATCAAAGCAGGCTAACAGGGATTCTTTGCCTCCGTTTTCCGTGGACAGTAGTGCCTCGTAGGGGGTGCATCTTTTTCTCGGGGGCCCTTCTGTCTACTACGAGTGGCCCACACACACACACACACCAATTCTATTGAATCGACGCGTAATTGAGGAGGAAAGAGAGAGAGAGAGAGAGAGCGAGAGAGAGAGAGGGAGAGAGATAGCCAGTGGTCACTCACTCCTCCACCCCACCTCGCTAACTTCCAACCGAATACCCGTGACGGGCAGAAGAAAATCGACCAAAAAACCACAGGGGGCTGACCTTTTTAGGTATCAGGGACCGAAGGAAACCGATTTCCCGTTCCAGACCCATCTCTGGCCAAGAGTGCCCCTGATGATGGGTGGTGACATTTGGAAAGCCCCCGTAGTCTAAAGGCACAAAATTGGGGTGCGAGGTTTTCGTGGCGGGGGTCTATTAGCTTATATCTCCAGCAGAGACTGTTTGGGGAAATGGTGGTTGCCTAGCAGAGATTCTTTGCCAATCTTGCACAACCCGATTCGGATGGCTGCTCTGGCTAGGGCGTTAATCGTAAATCTGTTAGTCCGTTGCCCTCCCCCATTGTTCATTATATCCTTAGGGATATCTCTCTGTCTCTCTCTCTCTCTCTCTCTCTACCTCTGTCTCTCTCATCCCTCCCATCCATCATTGGCCCCTTTCATCCGCGGCTATGGCCCCCGGATTGTATGCAAATTAGAATATGGACCCCCTGGTGGGTGGCCAAAGCCGGGGAATGGCAATAAATGCCTCCTAAATGGTCTCTGCTACATTGCCGCAGCCGAGGGGTTAGTCCAGAAGAATCTCTGCCAGCCTGCCCCCCACCACTTTCGCACTCCGCAAATTTGCATCCCAAGAATGGTGGCACGATGCTGGTGGATGGGTGTGTTGACAAGTGGCCTAAATAAGGGGGATGATCGGGGGTTTTTGAGAGCGAGAGAGAGAGAGACAGAGAGAGACAGAGAGAGAGAGAGAGAGTAAGGGAGAGAGAGAGTGATGCCCCTTCTAATAGGATTATCCTACCAGATGGCCCCCTCTTAATGCCATCTATCCCTCCATTCACACCCCCATGCCCAAAATAAGGAAAGGGGTCGTGGTATTAATATTTGAAGGGGGATTTGGGACAAAATATCACCAAAAATTCCGCAAAGGATCTCTGCTAGTCTGCTCCGAATCTGGCCTTCTAGTCACCTAGTCCTGGGCAGGGATGCAGAGGAGACAGAGACCCAAATTGCAGAGATTCTTTGGGCAACGCGGTAGGCCAGTCGTGCCAATTCACGAAACTTGCGGGCTAGGAGAAGCGAATGCTAACAAGGCAAGTGTTTTTGAGTCAGGTGGCGAATCTCTTTGTAATATACATCAATCGATAGAGAATTGAAAATAAATGTGAGCTTTAAATATTATTTTTGCGGAACTCCTCTCTTTAAAAAGTGATTAGATTTTTATAAGGCCCGAGGACCTATTATCTCAAAATCGAGCTTTTTTGTTTGTGCTTTCAAATTTTATTTGAATAGCTTATCTGGTAGAGATTTTTTCTGAGGCGAATGGTATATTGCATTATTGCCGGGTCTGCTTTTTAGACAGGTTTCATGAGCCTGGAATAGCATGAAAGCGACCCCGTTTACATAGAGAACAGGAGGCCATACCAAGTATTGTCAATTTTTTCGAAATTTTCGTATTTCCAAAATTTTGCAGTTGCAGTTAGATAGCTTATTCGATAGAGAAAAAATTCGCAACACAATGGCAAGGTTTGTTTCTGCGAGCTCGATTCGGAAGGTCTAAAAATATTTGGCTTAAAAGATCGCAATTTTGGCAACAATGGCACTCAAACCCAATTAACTTTTTAAATAGAGGAGTTCCGCAAAAACTAATACTGTAGCCTCGCCCTTCTTTTTTAATTATCTGTTGATTGATGCATCTTACAGCGATTTGCCATCTGGGTCAAAAAACACTTGCCTTGTAAGATCGGGGTAGGGTAGCAACGAGCTTTTGGGAAACTTGAGGGCAACTCCTTACCTCCCATGGCTCCTCTCTCTCTCTCTCTCTCTCTCTCTCTCTCTCGCTCTCTTTCTCTCTCTCTTTTAAAACCAAAGAAATCGTAACGCGCATGTGTGGGCGATGACTTTGCGTGTGCGCCTCAGCCCCCCATTTGACTCCATTCCATTCCTATCTCCACCCCAAGAGAGAAGAGGGTAATGAGTCCCATAATTGGCCCACATTCCACCCACTGCCTTTCCTCCATTACACCCATTTTCGGGGCCCAACAGGCTTTGCTTGTCCTAGCTGAATCGGGGGAGCTGCTGAAAAGTCGGCTTCTCAAATGGTCTCTGCTATCGGGAGTGGGTCTCCGCAAAGCTTCGCTGCTAGCTTGCCCCGGCCTGCGAGCCAGAACCGGGCTACCAGCAAAGATTTGTTAGGAGGTTGGGCAGGCTAGCAGAGATTGTTAGAGAATTCCATTGCAACTGCTATTGCCTCCAAAAGACGACAAGTTAGCAGAGAGCCTGGCGAATCACTGGCTTAATAGCAGTGATTTTTAACAAACGGCAGGCGAGCAGAGATCCTTAAGGGCCACATCTTCACTTCCCTATGCTTTGGCTTGTGGTAATGATTGCGTAATGCTCCTCAAGACGGCACCGGGGGAGACCGGGTGGAAGCAATTAGGGACTGCAGAACGAGAGGGATATGCCTTTTGACTGGAGCGAGAGAGAGAGAGAGAGAGAGAGAGAGAATGAGAAGCCCTCCTCCTCATCGGATTAGAGCTCATCTCCTCTGGTTCTGAGGACCTGTGAAGGGGTGGAGGACACCATGGGAATTGGTATCGCCTTCAGGGTATTCAAGGTTTAAAGGGACTGAGCACCAAAGAAAGCCACTTTTCGCCAATATCTGCTAGGCTGCTTTTTCTAATGGCCCCTGTCAGATCGCCCATCTTCTCCCCCTACTTTCCGACCCCATATAACCGGATTTTCCGCTCAATTCCCATGTCCCAATCTGCCCATCCGGCGTCGAGATATCGAGCCCATAATTAACTGCGGTAATCGACTACGAGTATCCACTAGATGACAGCCATCTGACGGCAAATGTAGGCTTGGGGCAGGGGAGATCTCAATTTGTGCCCCCATCGCAGGGGATAACCACTGAAAGCGAGTATTGTTGCGTACACCTGGCGCTTGGGGGTGGGGGGTGGGGGGAGGAGAGCAGCGTTTCAATTTATGGGATGCTAACAGAGATTATTGGCGGAAATGGGGGTGCCTAGCCGTGATTCTTTGAAAATATACGTGTCTGCCCAGAAGTGGTGAGCTGGCAGACACCACTCGGGAGCCGATTTAGCTGCGTATCAGCCCACGCCGGCCGTGTTCTTGAGATCCATCCTGTTGCTGTGATCTAGGCAAGCTAGCTCACTTTGCCGCTATCCAAGCAGACCGCAGCAGTTTCCGGAAGATGCCAGTGGTCATCGCATCTCTTGGGCTAACGATGTGAAGTGGATGGGGATGGAGGAATTATAAATTGGATTGTGAAGGGGTGGAGGGGATGGGTCATTTCATAGATTGGGGGCCCTTTAAAGGGAATGGAAAGGGGAGGGAGAGAGGGGGTGACAGCGGCTGTCAACAACAATCCACACCACCTAAATAGCATAGACATTGCCGAATAATTGGAGAACGGTGTGGCATTTCCCAAATTCTAGCCGGCCCCTTCCATTTCCTCAAACAACCTCTGCTAGCCTGCCCTTTTCCTAAACAAAATTCCAGGAGGATCTCCGTTGTTTGACTAGTTCGTTGTTTAACTAGTTTCGGGAGAGGATAAAAGCATAGGTCCTAAGCGAAAGGGAGAGAGAGATACAGAGAGAATCAGCACAGTTCAACCCAAATTTCTAGGTCACCGTACCGAGCGTGAAGTACTTGTCCGTCTCGTCGTCGAGGATGTTGATGAGCAACCCTCCTTCATCAATGGCCCAAAGCCATATCTGGCTGTTGTCCCACTCGAACGGCCGGTCGGATTCCATATCTATAAGGTGAGAAAACTCAGTTGGGGGGCAGGCTGGCGTGGCTCTTTAAGCACAATTGATCGGCTAGCGTAACCCCTGTTTCAGTTCGACGCCCGGGACGAGTTCGGGGACGGCGATTCCGACGTCGAGTACAAGCTGATCAACACCGAACGTAAGGGAATTGGCTGCTTGTCTGTCTGTCTGTCTGTCTCTCTTTGTCTCTCTCTCCCCCTCTCTTGCTCTTTCTATATCTTTCTAGCTGTCTCTCTCGCTGTCTCTCTCTGTATCTCTCTCCCTGTCTCTCCAATCTCTCTCTCTCTCTTGTCGCTCTGTCTCTCCTTCACGCCCAATTTTCAGCCCCCGACGCCTTTACGGTGGACGAAAAAACCGGCGTGGTTCGTACGGGCCAGAAGAAGTACGACGAGGGCAAGACGTACAGGGCCTATCTACAGGCCGTCGACAGAACTCCAAGGAGGGCAAATGAGACACAGGTACCGTAGCCGCATCCAATAGATGGGGCATTTTTAGGTGTCCGAGGTGGCCGTGCTGGAAGTACTTGCCGGCGACCGCCCGCCACAATTTGCCAAGCCACAGTATGCCGTGTCGTTGGCAGAGGATGCGCAGATCGACTATAGGTAGCCATATTAAACTCGGATAAACTAGCAGAGAGCATTGGCGGAATCGGCCCGAGCTGGGTGGATAGCAGGGATTTTTTAGGAAACAGGGGGTCCGGGGGCCGGCTAGCACAAAACATTTGGGGAATTCCCGGCTTACGACGGACTAGGCGATGTAGCAACGATCACCGAGGATGAAAGGGAAGCTTCGCAAAGGGAAAGGGCAGCTAGCAGAGACTGTTTAGGAACTAGGGACAAGCTAGCAGAGAAAATGGAGGATTCTACGTTGCTTTTCAGCGTTGTCGACGTGCGCGCCCAGGGCTTCCGGCCGATCGATGATAGAAGAGGGAAAGGACCGATTACGTATCGATTGTATGCACTGGAAGAATGGGGATGAGAGGTGGGAGAGAGAGAAATGGGGGAGAGAGCGAGAGCGAGAGAGAGGGAGAGCGGTAGCGAGAAAGAGTGAGAAATGGACGGGGAGCGAGAGGTAGAGAGATAGTGAGAGAGACAGACGGAGAGAGGGAGCGAGAGAGAGAGAGCGAGGGAGAGAGGGAGTTGATCTATTTTCAGAGAAACAAGCCGTTGGTTTGGTATCGATTCACAGACGGGTATTGTGCACCTCCGGAAATTGCTCGACCACGACGACCCGGCACAGCCAAGGGAACATCGGTTGATTGGTGCGTTGACGGGATGGCGAAGGCTGGAGTTCCTAAATGAACCTCTGCTAGCCTGCCTCCTTTGATTTCCGCAAAGAATCTCTGCTACGTTCCTTTCTTTCAGTAGCCGCCCAAGAAGACGGAAAAGAATCCACCGTACCCCTCGATATCCGAATCACCGACGTCAACGACAATTCCCCCGTTTTTAGGTGCCTTCCGGAAACGTTTTGGATTAATTTCCGTGTATTTAGTCGTCCCCTGTACACAGCCCAGGTCAAGGAAGACATCCCAGCCGGAACTGTCATTTTGAAAGGTATAGGTTTGAAAGGTTTTCGCTAGAAAATCCGAATCACCCAGTTCGCGCTGAGGACAAGGATTCGGAGGCAAACGCCAAGATTCGATTCCACATTGATGATGGGAATTTCATAATAAATGATGAGGGGGGAGATATCGCCAAAGGTGAGGAATGCATATTTAAAGCACGTAATCGGATAGAACCTGTATCCTCAGAATCAAGCGTCGGGGGGCGAGCATCCGCTTTGAGGTTTTTGGTTGCCAAGAGAAAGCTATAGAAAACGATACAAAACGGTGGTAGGGCGAACCAGAGAGAGAGAGAGTGAGAGAGAGAGAGAGAGCGAGAGAGAAAGAGAGAGAGAGCGAGAGAGAGAGAGAGAAAGCGAGAGCGAGAGAGCTGGAGAAAGAAAGAGGCAAGGGAGAGTGAGTGCCCATAACGTTGCGTAACCGTTTAATACCACACTTTCCAGGTGCGTCTAGACGCCGATCAGCACAAAGAGCGCTTCTTCATCTACCGTTTCGAGGTGACGGCTGAGGATTCTGGCAGTGCGCCCAGAAAATCGGCCGCTACGGTAATTTTACCTGGTTTCACGCGTACTTCTGGCCTTTTCGTTGCGTAATCGGTTAGCCGAAAATTATTGCGCACATAATCGTGCCAAAATTCGATGCCTCTATTTTCATGGCGCCATCTATTGATCCAGGTGCACATCCGTACGGAGAATACAAATGACGAGGCGCCAATCTTCCTGCCGACCTCTCAATATACGGCATGGGTAGCTGAAGATGCCGAAGGAGGGACACCCGTCGTGCAAATACAGGTACGAGGGGCAACTAGCAGAGATTGTTTGAGGAAATGGAAACGGGCAGGCTAGCAGAGATCATTTAGAGCTCGAGGTGAGCAAACTAACAACATTCTTAAAGAGGCACTTTCCGGTTCCGCCGGTTTTCCATGAAGCGTGGAATAATTTGCATCTCTTTCCGGTTAGAGAGCACGCCCTGGTGAGAGGCGCAGGCGTTTCGCGTGTAAATTTTTCGGCGATTCGTGGAAAAACGAAGCTGCTGACATTGCCCTTTTATACGGAAAACCCCCGATCTTGAGGCCCGTGACCCAGACCGGGACCAGGTGGAGTACGCGCTTGTACGTGATGACGGTGATGAGGTGCTAGAGACGAGACTTTTCCATATTGATCGGGATACCGGTGGGTTTAATCGATTACGCAACACATCTCCCTCTTGAGGTCTCATCAAGCTTCGTTCGGGCGTGCGAGCAGAAGATCTCCTCCTCGAGCCATCCCCTCACAATCTGACGATCCGTGCAAAGGATGATGGCAGTTGTTGTGATGGGGCGAGTCCGACTCATATCGCCATGGCCACTGTACTTATTGGTATGTAGTTTAATCTATGGCAGGCTAGCGGAGACCGTTTTGGAATGTCCCTCCTCCCATTAATGAGTGTTTATAGGAATCGAAGACGTCAACAACAATAAACCGGAATTCCGGGACTGCGAGCGATACAGTAAGGTGGCCAAGATCAAGGAGGGCGTCTATAAGAAGCATCCGCCAACCGTCATCAAGGTACTGTAGTTGGCTGGCCGACAAACTCGCCTTGTTCAGGTCGAGGCTGTCGACGAGGATTCTTCGGCTAATGGCCAAATCTTCTACTCGCTCTACTACGCTCAATCTGAATCGAGGTGAGAGAGAGAGAGAGAAAGACAAAGCGAGGGAGACAGAGAGAGAGAGAGAGAGAGAGAGAGAGAGAGAGAGCGTGGGTGAGAGAGATATAGCACCATTTTCCGGTCCTGGATTTCATAGCGTAATCGTGAATAGCTACAGCCACAACCGATTACGCCGATAATTTTCATGGCCAATAAACCTTTAATCCAATTTCAGAAAGCCGTTCATCATCGACAAACAGACCGGCGAGTTGAAGCCGTCACCCCATGTCATTTTCGACCGAGAGACAAGGCCTAGGGAGGAGGTTACTGTAAAGGCACGCATTTTGACGGTTTTCGACTTGAGGCAGGCTAGCAGAGATCATTAGGGAAATTTTAAGCGCCTATTGGAGGCCAGAATTGACGCGAGAATGCGTGGATGGCTAGCAGCAGCGCTTTGTGCAGGGCAGGCATGTAGAGACTATTCGGGAAAGCGCGGGTTCGGGACAGGATAGCAGTGATTGTTTAGAAAGGGGATGGCTAGAAAAGAATATAATTAAGTGTTTTTTGCAGGCAACCGACCGCGGCGAGCGTCCCCTGATTGGTTTCTGTCAATTCACGGTGGATGTCGTTGACGTGAATGATAATTCTCCACAATTCGATCGGGCATCTTATGAGACTTCTGTTAGCAGGAGTGAGGCTATCGGGTAGGTGTTTTAAACGATTGTACGACGAAACCAGGAATAATCGATTATGTCATGAAAATGATGCATTACGCGATAAAAATCGTTTATAGCTATTCGATTACGCTATGAAAATCGTGGTAATCCATCGGGGGAAAAAGAAGTCGATCAGTCCATGAAAATCGGCAAGCCTAATTGATTACGCTATGAAAATCGAACAATCTATTCTGTTACCCTAGGGAAAGTCACGAAAATGAATCGATTACGCTATACAAATCGATAGATTTAATCGATTACGCCTGGAAAATCAGGAACACAAATCGATTACACGATGAAAACCGCTACAAATTTTCGATTACGCAACGAAAAGGCCGAAAATGAACCGCTTACGGCAAGAAAATGGCGAAATGGAATGGATTACGCGATGAAAATGACCAAAAAACTGCTGAAAAACCAATTTTTTTCAGAACGTCCGTGGTTACGGTATTCGCGTATGATCAAGACGCTCCTCACAACGCCCGCATCACCTACCATCTCGCCGCCGATCCGACGGCCGGACCTGAGTTTTTGTGCGTTATTTTGGCTCGTAGTATGTTGGCGGTTTTTCGGGACAAAATCGCTATGCTGGTAGTTTTAGGCCTACATGCTACTTTTCACGCTTCCTAGGCCTTTGATAAAAGGATTTTCTCAACGTGTTCTAGCGCAAATTCCAGAAAAGACATCAGCTACTTCGAGCTGTTGAACGTCAACTCGGGCGAGGTGACCCTCGTCCGCCCCATCCCGCGTGATCATCACAAGGATCGCTTCCAGTTCAATGTGATCGCCACCGACAACGGCGTGCCCGAACCACAGAATTCCACCGTACAGGTCCGTAGTCTCACGGATTTTCTTGCGGATTTCGTTTTTTCTAGACCCATTTTTCGCGCCGATTCCTGTAAAAAAACCAATTACAGATTTTCAAGTTCCGCGGTTTTTTTGGGCAAGCAGAAGCGTACAACCTTCTCGCGAAATGCACTCTTACTAATTTCTAGACCAATTTTTTTGGCGCTGATTCTAAAGCTGCGGGCCATTTCCCGTCCTGCATCGTTGTTTTCCAGATACCATCAATTTTTCAGCGAAAGAAGCGGAATTTTTGATTTTCCGACAGATTTTTGGGCCTATAATGCTGATATGTCGAGCGATACGGATGTCACGCAAAGACCCCATTACATTTTTGGGAACATCAGCGAAAAAAACTGGTCCAGAAAAGCGAAAAACTAAAAATTTTAGCTAGTAAGAGCGGGGTCTTGCGGAAATTCCGCGCTTTTCAGGTGACGATCAAAATCCACGAAAAAGCGCAGCACGCGCCGCGCTGGCAGTCGAGTCCGGATTGTCGCGATGTGGTGACGGTGGCCGAGAATAGCGTGGTACGGTATTTTAAAATTTTAAGTTATGGTCGGTTTCCAGCTTAACAAAGTGTTGCTACGCTGTCACGCCGTTGCCGGCGACGGATCGGGCAGTTCGATTGTGTACAAGTAGGTGTCACTGTCCCTTTAAAAGCACTCCAAACTACAGGCTGACCGCCACCGATCCGTCACGCGGCGTCAAAGCCGACGCGAAGTTTAGGCAGTTCAGCCGGATTGAGGATGGGCGGGAGTGGGTAGAGGTGAGCTTTTTCTTGATCTAGCCCCGGCAATTTGCCACGCTGCAAAGTACAGGCTCCAAACTACATAAATGATCACAACAATCAGAAAACTAAGCCGTGTGTAACATTTTGCGCTTTTTTGCTGTTTTCCATGGGGTTTTGGTATTTTAGGGCGCAATAGGCGATTTTGACTTTCCTAACTCCTTAATTACAGCCTAGATCACCCGATTTCCAAAAAGCAACAAAATCCCCGAGGCCGGGCGTCGAACCCGGACCCGCGCGCGGGGCCCGGAACTTTACCAATTGCCCACGAGATTAATGGGCTTGCTTCCTCTTGCCTTTCTCAAAACCACTTTTTCCAGGTGGCCATCATGGAGACGCTGGACTACGAGCAGGCCCATAATTACACCCTCACCCTCACCGCTACGGTACGTCATTTTTGCGGTTTACGACCGCGTCTGAATACTTGACAGCCCTGAATGTACTGACTTTTTAATCGATAGTCAACCTATCATTTTGCCAAAGAGCAAAAGCTTCCGCCGCGGCCGGGGGTCGAACCCGGGCCTTGCAGGCGGTAGGCGAGAGCCTTACCATGTCATCACAAAGGTTGCTTGGTTGTTTTTTTAATTTAGGTGTAAACTATAGATTTTTGTATTTCATAGGACGTCAACTCGCAAGTGTCGACGTCCCGTTCGCTGGCCGTACTCGTCGAAGACGCGAACGACGGTGTGCCCCAGTTCACCGTCGATCTGTTCACGGGAACTGTCGACGAGGAGCTGACACCGGCCGAGTACTTGGACAAGTACGTTTTATACGTCAAGTGAGCAACGGGGGGTTATCCGATTCCGAGAATTGAGATGGTTTGCCGGGTTTAATGGCGTAATTCATTGATGTATACGCTATTTAAAAGTAATGGTTTTGTAGGTATGAGCATCGGCCGATCACGGTGCTGAAGGCGCACGATTCGGATTCGGATGGGCCGCAGAATGAGGCGAGTTTTGGTTATAGCGCGTAATAGTTTAATGTCCATTTCGTGGGCCTAATCGATATGACAGGAAATTGGGCCAGGTTTTCGGGTATAATCGATGAAGTCATCTAACAGCAATCGGTTTTTAGGGCTTAGTCAATAATGCTATGGCATAACAGCATATTTAGCGGACGTAATCGGTTGCGATATGTCATAGCTAAAGATTTTCGGGCGTAATCGGTTGCGGCGTGGCCTTGTTGTCGATTTAACCGGTATAAACGCTTACGGTATTTAATGGCGACCATTTTTCCCGGTATAAACGATTATCGCACAAATCAACCATTATTTGGCGGGGTAATCGTTTTATGCCACGTTTTATAGGTTCACTACCGCATCCTGGACGTGCCGGATGCGTCGGCGTCTCGGCTGTTCCGTATCGACGAGGTCACCGGCGAGGTCTTCCCCAACGCAAAATTCGATCGCGAGCAAAAGGTTTGTGTGCATTTTGGCGAATCTATTGGCGTGGCCCGTTCGCTGATGCCCATGTAATCGCGTAACCGATTAATGGTGTATCATTTTACTGGCGTACTTCCATAACTTCCGGTAATCGACTGACTGCTAATAATTTGGTGGCGTAATCGATTGTCTGTCTGAATTTTGATAGCGTAATCGGCTAACCTCAAGATATTGTGCTTTCAGGACATGTACATTTTGACGGTCGAGGCGCGGGACAACGCTCCATCCAGTCTGCCCGGGGTTTCCGGTCCGAATAAGGGTAGGCCAGCAGAGATTTTCGCGGAAATCGGTAAAAATAGATTTTATTAATTTTTTTAGACAACGTGAAAGTGCAAATCGTTATTGGCGACGTCAACGACAACGCGCCGACGTTTGACGAGCCGAAATACACCGGCAGGTACGTCGGTATTCGCATTTTCACCACGTAACCGATTATTGGCATCGATTTTCATGGCGTAAACGTTTTTTCCTCTTTCTTTGCCACTCGCCTAATTTCAGGGTGCTCGAAAACGCGGAGCCCGGCCACGATCATCACCGTCAAGGCGCGCACGACCTCGACAAGCGTGAGTGAATTTCAGCTCGTAATCGACTGCCCATGGGGGCATTTTCATGGTGCTCGCTCCGCTCCCCGACTTAGATCACCTAATCGATTATTTAGCGGCCGTTTTTATGGCTAGCCGATTAGCTTTCGAGCCATTTTCATGGCACAATCGAGTATTTAGCGATGAGTTTCTTGGAATAATCTATTAGTTAGCTGCTATTTTCATGGCACAATCGATTAATTAGCCGGTTTTCATCGCATAATAGAATTTTCATGACGTAAACGGTTAGCTAGACCCGATTTCGACTACGTAATCGATTAGTTAGATACGTTTTCCCTGTCGTGATTGGCTATCCGTCAAGGATTTTGATGGTGTAATCCACTTTTCAGACTCAAACCTGCGCTATGATCTGACGGGTGCGTTTGGAGGGCGTATCCTCTTCGGCGTGCGCACAGACAGTGGGGCCATTTTTGTCAAGGAGCCGCTCGACTACGAGACTGTACGTTAATAGGGGCATCACGGAAAAAACCGCGACTTTTGCAGGAAAGCGTGTACCAGCTGCGTCTGGTCGTGTCCGACGGAAAGCACAACACATCGACGAGTGTCCAGATTGTCGTTGATGATGTCAATGACAATGCGCCTGTATTTGATGAACCGGCGTATAATACTACCGTACTCGAACAGGATGCCGATGTGCCAAAGATACTGTTCCGTGTTAGGGCTACTGACGCTGATAAGGTACGCACGTCGGAAATTCTAGGTTTTATTTTAGGATGAGAAATCGAGGCGTATCATCTATCGGCTGGAAGGGCAGGGGGCCGGAGAATTCTTCAGGATTGGAAGGAAACCGGGGAGATCGAACTGTTGAAGGAATTGGATAGGTGAGAGAGAGAGAGAGAGAGAGAGAGAGAAGAGAGAGAGAAGAGAAAGAGAAAGAGCAATATTTCCAGAGATCCTCCCCCAAGGCGTGCCGGCCTGGAAATTCATCGTGCAAGCTGTAGATGACGATGGCCGAGGCCTAATTGGCTATGCTGACGTCCAGGTGAAAGTGAAGGACATCAACGACAACGCGCCCATATTCCCCGAAAATCTTCTTGGCACTGTCGAGGAGAATCGAGTTCCACCTTGTAAGTGATTCTTTGCTGCGGTGCTTTTTGCATTAGCTAAGGCAGAGGCACAATTTTTTTGGTATTAGTCGAGAAGTGCCCAGTAGCGTCATAAAATATTTTTGAATTGCATTTTTAGCAAAATATATCTATATTGCAACTAGAAAAGCTCTCTAACAACATTAAAAACTCCTGAAAAGTTGAACATTTTAGCGAAAAAATCAGCTATTTTGGTCGAAAACTAATGCTTTTGTATTTTTTTAATCAAAATTTGTCAAGTTTTAGATTGACGCATAGTAAATAACCGCTTACAAAACACTAGCGCTATTTATATTTGCACGATTGCAACCTAGAAAAGTTAGTCACCCAGAAAGAACCGAAAACGCAGCAGAAGCCTTGCTGGACCCTTTAAAACAATGCATTACGCCATGTAATCCCTTTGCAGCGAATGACGGTGTCTATATCATGGATGCGAGGGCAAAGGATTTTGACGATGCGGCCACCGAGAATGCACGATTGGAATATTCAATTTCAGTGAATAAGAATAGATGGAGAACCTGTATTTCGTATAGATCCGACTACCGGAAGATATTTGCCATGGTAAGCCATTGCTGAGTTTGATAGAGTAAGAAGATGGCTTTTGGATCGATTGATGGATTTCCTAGCGTAAATAGTATGGATTCGCAGAATTAGATGGGGGTATCGATTGGAAAACCCACGATTTCAGCGTCGTCTCGATCGCGAACTGCCCTCAGAACGTCTCTTCGTCATCCGCGTCCGGGCCGTCGACAATGGAAGGCCACAGATGGAAAGGTAGGCGAGCAGAGATTGGAGGAGGAAATGGAATAGGGGCAGACTAGCAGAGATCATTTGTTCTTTGCAGGTTTCGGCAACGTGACGATCCGCGTCGTCGACAAGAACGATAATGCTCCATTCTTCGAAAAATCCCTCTATGAGGGTACGGTAGCCGAGACGGCGTCTATAGGCCACCCCGTACTGTCCGTCAGGGCCCTCGATGTCGATGATGAAGCACTGTAGTGCGGATTTCGGTCGAAAATAATCTCTTCTAGCCTGCCAGACCGAAGGAGATCCATTTCTTTTCAGTGACAACGTGTTCACGTACAGTCTCGTAGATGAGGGCAATCCCTTCTTCTAATGTCAACGGACGGGGATTCGAGTGGGGGCGCTGTCGGGGTCCTGCGCGTTAAGAGAGTACGTTACTTTCCGCTCCGCAGTTTACGCCTGAACAAAATTAGCCCATTTGAATAGTTAAGATATTTTCCGGGTCGAAAATGATTCTGGCAGTGTATAAAAATACCGCATAAACTACAGTTTTTGCTAAAGAAAGCCTGCTAGCCTGTTCCCTTTCCATTTCCGCAAATAATCTCTGCTAGCTTGCAGAAATCGCGAGTTCACGCACGTAATTTCTTTTTCTGAAGTACCGTCTCGTTTTGAGGGGTCGAGTCGGGTTGAGGGGGTAAGAAAATCCCGCAAAAACCTTGTGTATTGGGGGTATTATGGGGGCCTTCATGCCCTGAAGGCACAAGGGAACCGGTCCTTACCTAGCGCCTTCTCGGCTCACTTTTAGGTGGAGGGGAAATTGCAGATGGTACTTTCTCTGTCTGTCTCTCTCTTTTCTCTCTCTCTCTCTCTCTCTCTCTCTCTCTCTCCATCTCCCTTCTCAGATCCTCGGTTGCCATTAGAACACCAGTAAACTTGCCGACCGCCCGTGATTTTCCGATTTTCGCATTCGCCAATGTTCTCAGCTAGACCTTGCAATTCCCGAAGGATCCCTGTAGCCGGCGGCTTCCCGAATGGCATTTGCTAGCTTGCCCAATTTCGATTTACTGTCTTCCCCCGCCAGCCGACCCCACCCACTTTATTACGACACCCCGTTGTCGTAGGGAGCCGGTAAAATATATCAAAATGCTCGCCAGAGCAAGACGAATATTTTAGATACTTTGCTTATACATTTCTTTCCAATAATACGAAAGCACCGTCAAATCAAGGCAAATCATCTCAAAGAATCCCTGATTGGTCGTGAGAATCTTCATTGCAGTTCATTCATTCCACAAAATCCCCGCTTGCTTGTCCTCGCTCTAAAATTCTAATTTCAAGGCAATAAATGTTATTCTGAGCGTTGATTTGGTGGATGACCTGTGTCCCCTCCATCATAAATTTTGTCCTCCTCTATGAGACTTCCTCCCTCCCCTGATTTGCATGTTCTAATGACGCCATCTGCGACTGCCCCTCCCCTCCTTTCTGCGCCACTCTGTTCTAGGCGGTTCAATCGCCGGATATGTATTTATGTGGCGTAGTCCGCTGAAAAGCGGTCGAAGTTGTTTGTATGCGAAAATCCACATTTTTCCAACTTCAAAAAACTTTTGGAATTTTTTGGCTCAAACTGGAAGCCAGACAATCTTCTGTGTTTTTCTTAGCGTTCTAAAAATACCATAAATAAATGTTATAATTTTTCATAGGGTGCAAAGTGCTCGCCAGAAAGAAGGTTTAGAGTGGCAAAAATCGCAAAATCGTTAAAAATGAGTCGCGCTCGAAATTCAGCCCAGTTGGGCGTCAAGCTAAAACACGCGGGGATCAGCGCTGGCATGCCTAAAAGGCGGAAGTTTGGGGGTGGGGATTTGGTGGAGTTCCGTGAGTATCCTATCACCACCTCAGGCCTTGGAAAGTCCGTTTATCCTTATTCTGTCGCTTTGCTTTCTCTCTCTCTTCTCTCTTTCTCTCTCTCGCTCTCTCTCTCCTTCGCCTCTATTCAATTTGGCGGCGTGTGACCCAACTAGGCTACCCCCTAAAGGCCCACAGTTGGATCCTGGGAATTCGAAATTTGAATACTGAATGCATATCTGGGGTCGAGTGTACTCCCTCGCACTCTCGATTACCCCGCCTAACGTTACGAATCCGCCGAAAATTCATGGAAATTTCTGGGTCAAACTTACCTTAACTGCGCCTTTAAAACCCTTAGCAAATTTTTTTCTGCCTACAGCGGACCCTAGCTCTCAAACCCGTAAATAACCACCGACTGGCCCATTTCTGGCCTTTCAATGGACCTTTAACTGATTACAATCGGACTCTGCAGGGCTTCTTGACTCGAATTTTCCTTAACTTGCCGTTTAAAGCCTAGGCTGAGCTTTTTAGGGGTGAAGTCAACACCAAGCTTTAAAGCTCGGTTTTGACTTCACTGGACCTTGAAAGAAGACATATCCATAAGCTAGTCGCCTCAGTGGGCTTTAGGCTAAAAACTGCGCGGCTAGCTTTCAGCATTCCTTGAAAGCCGTGAAAGTGGGGATTCTTGCCTTCATTGGCCCTTTAAAATCGAAGAGTCGGGGGTTTTTTTGTGTCCCCCAAAAATGTGGCCCTCAATTGACTTGCGCGTCTCGTTCCTCGAAGGTATCAACTTATCTTGGCCATCGTTTTTTCGAAGCTTATCCTCACCCCAGAAACCTTGCTCAAGTTCCGTTTTCCGTATCCATTCGTAATCGGGGAAGCGCTCGTCGATTTCCGTTTTTTTCGTAAAAACTAGCAAAATTTAGTGTTGTAGTCCGCCTAAAGTTTCTGAAATCGGGGCAAGGATGCTTGAAAAAAATCGTTAATTATATGAAATTATTTAAATAACGTCATTTTGTTTCTGGTCACTGCAAAGCCGACTAAAAACGTAGGGTTTGAGTGGGTGTCCTGTTTTAAGGGCTCCCTTTAGGGAATATTTAGGGGTCTCTCTCGCTCTCTATCCCTCTCTTTCTCCAACCAATGTTGATGGCGGAACTGTTTGCATGTCGTTTCGGGCTAGGGGTGTGAAGTGTCCCGTTCTGTCTCTCTCCTTCTCTGCGTCTCTCTCTCTCCCCTCTATCTCTCTCCCCTAGAAGATCTTGAGATCTCCCCTCTTCCCCCATAAGGACCCAGCCCCAACCCCGGGTCCCAGGCCAAATCATGTCCTTCCGAAAACTGTACATGTCCGCAAACTTGCAGCCCACCAGATAACGGAGATTCCTTAGGAACTTACTCAAAAGCTATCTTTCGATTCCCAAAAAATCTCTGCTAGCTGCCCCCGGCTCCGCTGTCACGCTCTCTTCATTAACTTAGGCCAGCTAATAAAGACCTGCTTGAGAGTCGTGGTCAGCACGACAAATTCCCACAGAAATCCATGCTAGCTTGCCCGGCAAGCTAGAACAGATGCGGAAACTTTCGCTTTCCACTCGCTGCCTCTAGCCACAAAGCCGAGGCGTTTAGCGGCTTAGATCTGGGATTCTTTCCCCTCTAGCCGCATCGTTCATAACAATGGAATGGAGTCGTCTCTCGCTCTCTCTCGCGCTCGCTCTCTCTCTCTCTCTCCCACTCTCGCCGACTTCCCGCTGATTTTATGACAGCCAATCCCGATCCAAATCCTCCTCCCAAGGCCTCACGTTTTTGGCTGGCTAATGCTCCTTGAATTCGGCAATTCGGCACTAAACTCTGCTAGCTGGCCTCCCTGCAGTGTCCCTAAAGGCATGGGGGAAAGCTAGCAGAGATCACTTTGGGACAGAGTACGCGCCATTCCGCCTGGACGCCTCCTTGGCAGTGTTTATTTTGCTGTCATTGTCTGGGCTTTTCCCCCGGCCGCCAAGTTTATACTCTGGCCCGTTAAGGGGCTGAGGAGGGGATTTGCCCCCAATTGGTCGTAGTGCCAGTAGTGGTCACTCGGATTATAATAGGCATCCTCCTTTTAAGGGGGCAGAGAGATGTCAGTTCTCGGGCTTTTCAAATACCTATACGGCCTAGGGGGTGTAGATTTTGGGAGATATTTTCTAAAGAATCTCTACTAGCCTGCCCTTTCTTTCCATTTCCTCAAACTATCTCTGCTAGCCTGCCCCCAGCGGTGTTTTCAAAGGCCACTCAGCTGGAGTGAATATTTATGGCTTCACACTCCACCGGACATCAGGGTGTAGATAGGCGCGTAGTGGAATGGGATGGACTGGAAATGCCAAAAACCATTCCCAGACCCATTTTTTTGCCTCGTGGAACGCGTCGGTGTGGCGCGCCGGGGATTTGGCGCATCCAGGTCCTAGGGGGCGCCTAGCCTAAGTCAAGCCCTAAGCCCATCCGAGTCAAGCCTAAGTGTAGCAGAGAGCACTTGGAAGTCAGACCCTTCACCGTCTCCACTCGAATCCTAAGCGACCATTATTCCGAGGCATTCCTCTCTACCGGAGGGGTGTCATTTGCTGTTGTCTCGCGTACCCCCCATTTCCACCCTTTTTTGCCGTTCTCGAATCCATTTGTCATTCAGTTCATTCGAACGTCTTTTGTTGTCCTATCGCGGTGCCGGACAAGGACTTTGCCGATATCTCCCTCTCTCTCTCTCTCTCTCTCTCTCTCTCTCGATCTCTCTCTCGCGCGGGCTCTCTCGCCCGTGAACCCATTACAGGACTCGGGGCCCGAAATTTTCAGGCCTTTTTGCGTGCTGTTTTTGTAGGATTTTGAGCGCCAGGTGTCAAACCGTATCCCAAAACTCATAGTCCCTGTACGAATTGTGAAATGCACTGCCAGAGCCATTGAAAACCCGGAAATTACGTAGATAAGTAGCAGTTAAGTGTCGGAATCGCTTAGACCATGAAATGGCTTAAAAATTGGGTTTAGTAACCGATTAGGCCCAACAAAATAGCCGCACAATTACCTTTTGTAATCCAGTACAAAATGATAAAAATGATAAAAATGATAAGAATTAGGTTGCGTAATCGATTAGGCCATGAAAATAGCAGAAAATTGCGTTGTGTAATCGATTACACCATGGAACTCGCTCAAAATTAGTAGTCCGCGTAATCGATTAGGCTATGAAAATCGCAAAAAATTGCATTGCGTAATCAGATGGTATATGAAAATACCCATAATTAGGTGGCGTAACCGAACTGGAGCCCCCGTAAAAAGCGTGTCATCGTTTAGCCGTTGGACTACGAGGAGCCCGTACAGCGACAGGGCTGGGAATTGGCGGTTCGGGATATCTGATGAATTACACGGGGCAACGAGCAACGCGACGAATTGCGCTCGAAGATCGCAACGACCACGCGCCACAGATAAATGGACCGACGGAGAGGACGGTGAAAGAAGATGCACAGAGAAGGGCGCTTCTCGTCGGCACGTACACCGCCATTGACCCTGATCCGGGGA